CTTTCCCTGGGCAGTTCTTTTTTCTGGGCAGAGCTTTCTCTGGACGGGACTTTTATCTGGGCGGGTCTTTCCCTGGGCGGGGCTTTTTTCTGGGCGGGGCATTCCTTCCTTGGGACCAGTGCGTACGCGTACCTTGCCTGGTCAAATCTTTAAAAATCTTTTTTCCTGGAGCCAGGCCAACCCTCCCTGGGGCACAGTTGGATGAGTAGAGTGGACAAGAGACCTATGAGCCTAAAGCTGAGTGCGGGGGGCGTAATGGGGTATGATTAGTGCCTTTTTATAGCAGCTGCAGGAGAAGCAGGTGAGGCCCCGTGGGCAGCTCTAAGCAATAACCCTGCCTTGGGCTGGGGAGATTCCTGCCTTCTAGCCCGAGGAGCCCTGGCTGGCCCCACCCTGCGCTCTGCCCTGGTGAGGGGGCTGCACCTGTCTCCGTGCCAGAGGTTCGTTTGACGGACCCATGGAAATGGTGGCCTGCCCTGGGACTGAGAGTGTCGCTGGCTCTTTCCCATATGCAGGGCTGGAGGGCTGGGCTGTGTTCCTCTGGGCGTTTCGATGCTGTTTTGCTCCACTCTGTTGGAGCCTAGCAGAGCTTTTAGGTCAGGGACAGTGGGGTTTTGGCTGTCCCATGAGGCAAGGCTACTCACCCTGCCCTTCCCTACTCTTGCTTTTCCTATTCCCAGTCACCCAGCCTTTCCCCTCCCAGGAGAACCTAGCCATTTGCAAATAGGGAGCTTTTTACAGTGGGCTTCTCCCGAGGTTGCTCTGTGGCACCGGACCCTGTCCAGAGCAGCCTGATTTCCCGGGTACCTAACTGATTTCTCCTTAAGCTGCTGCTCCAGTTGTTGCAACCCTTCCGTTGGGAAGTCTGGCCCTCTCCCTGCCGTGGGCCTTTTCGCCTGGCACATCTGCACATCACTTCCCTGGGCCTCGTCCCTGGCCCCAGCCCTGGGCCTTGTTTGCACAGGTCTGCCCCCTTGAGTTGCGGAGATTCCCAAGGGCAGGGTCTCCTCCATCTCCCTCTCCCACAGCCCAGCTCAGGGCAGAGGCAGTATGTGACTGTGGAATGGGGAAGGGCCCAGGGAGGGAGGCACAGATGGAGGGTGTCACATCAGCCGTGCCGATAGGAGTGTGGGCGTGGGAGCGGGTGGGGTGTGGCTGTCCTTGGTGAAGGTGCTTTGGAAGCTGAAGGTCACTGTGCCCAAGAATGTCCCAGCTGTGGCTCAGATGGCGGGTGCTTGGCCAGGTACCACCCTGTGTGCAGTGTGTAGGGCCCTGCCCAGCCTCACCTGGCAGAAAGGATGATGACTCGGGCCTCCAGCTCTTTTGCCTCCATCAGCAGGGCTGTCACGTTCTTGGTCCCTGGGTCAAACTGCAGCACCTTCTCTGCCTGCGGTGTGAACAAGAATGTTAGCAGGCGGCTGGGGCAGGGGACATAGCACCTCAGGGGTGAGAGTCGGGCTGGAGCCGCTGGGAACCCCGAGGCAGCTTAGCTAGGGCTGCCATGGTCTGCGCCTGCCACCTGCGCCTCTGCCTGCCTTCCTCAGTCCTCGCCTGGCCTGGCCTCGCCTCTCCGGTCCTGTCCTGTCTTCAGCCTGCGCGCTCACCTGTGCTCGTTCTGTGCTCTCTCTGCTCTCTCTCTGGGTCTCTCTCTCCACCTTACTCCTGTCCTCATCTTTGCACTGAGCATGCAAGCTGAAGTGGACCCAGACTCAGGAGGCGTGCAGCGGACGGGAAACAGAAAAGAGTTTTGGAATGCAACCAGGAAAAGAGATGGGGCTGACTTTTCCAAAACCATGGGAGGTCCTCTGAGGTCTGATTCCGCAGGCCCCCGCAGGAGCAGCCCAGCCCCGGCGAGCGGGTGGCCAGGCGGGCGGGCTCCCTCCCGGGTTCCACGAGGAAACCCTGGGGGTCCCGGAGATTCGCATGCACTTCCCGGAGAGCAGCTCCTCCTGCAGCCGCGCCTGCCTCGAGGGTGCAGGCTAGGGTCACGGCGGGTGGGCCTCAGGCACCCACGCCGCCACGCCTGCCCTCTCCTGCCTGCCCTCTCCTGCCTGCTGCCGGCTGCCTCTCCTCATTGCTTGGGCCTGCGGCTCGGCGGCTGGGCCAGACAGTGGCCCTAGTGGCCGAGGCGCCGAGGCCAGGGCTCCCTAGCCGTGGGTGGCGTGCACGTCCATGCATATATACCTTGGGTCCGCGCTTGTTGTCATAGGACAGTTGGTCGAGGTTTTCATAGTTCCTTTTTTTACTCTGATGAATAATGTGCACAGAGAAAATATGCAGACACAGAAGAAGATTATAAACGGTTGAAAATGACGGCGCTAAAGCAATCACACCACCTCCTCGGCACGTCTGCAGACGGGCTCCTACCTGGAGCTCGCAAACACCGAGGCCCCGGGCGGGGCTGGGGGCCGGGGGCGG